CCTAGACTCTTCTGACGCTGAGTCCCCTGAGTCTTCCCCTCCCTCCGGCGGGCTTTAGGACCTGGTTCCCAATCCGGGTTTTCTGCTGTCCCGCGCGCCTGTACATTTGAACTTTGGCGGCGCCCGCCCAGCCTGCCACCTTCCTTCTGACCGTTATTACTGCTCCTGTCGCTGCTTCCCTCTTCGGGGATGCTAGCTGGGTCTGACTCCTCCTCCCTGCTTGCCGGAGGAGACGCTGACTCTGACCTATGGGGCTCTTCCCCCCCACTACGCTCTGGTGGGGAAGCTGGTCCTGATTTCCAGCTACTGCTTTGGGAGTCTCCGCTGGCCCCCTGCTTCTGGTGTGTCCCCCCTGGGACCCCCCTTGCCCTGGCCATCGGCGCCCCCTTCTGGGACTCTTCTGATTCACTGGAGAGGCCCTTATAGAATCTCTCGGGTCTACTGTCCATTTCTGCCTCCAGCTGCCCTCGATTCTTCCCCCTTCCGCTCTCCATTTCTCTCTCCCCTGTGCCTCTGCTCCCTGAGCCCCTGACAACACCTAAAAAACCAGAACCCGTGAAATACATCCCGAATAAAGTTTGTTCTTTCTATGCAGTATGGAAATAAAACATACCCAGTTTTCTCCTTTGCTTGGCAGTCCTCCTTCGCTTTGCGAAATTTTGGGTGGCACAGCAATAAGACCTTGAAAACCAAAGGAAAGGATACCCAAAGAAAGCTTATTCCTCTTTCAGCTATGCATATGCAAGCAAAAAACAACGAGTTTTCCTTTCTTAGTTTTTTTAATAAATAATATTTTATTAGAGTTTTTCCAGAAAATTAACATCACAAAAATCAACAAAAATCACAAAAAACAAAACAACAAACATCAAAAATCCAAACAGAAAAACAGAAAAAAGAAAAATACTAAGGAAAAAATTTAGCAATAAAAAAGAACAACTCTTTCATATTATAACTTTCAAAACCTTATCTCTTTGCTTCCACCCGCCTTCCCTTCTTGTATTTCACTTTAAAAAATTAGTACAGCAAGATCGTTCATTATTCATTTTAAACCTTTATCCCTCCCTTTATAATCTTATTTATCTTAATCGCTAGAACCCCTTCATTTCATTTTCAGAGCCTTCAACATTCATAAATTTTACAGTATTTTTGTAGATAAACTTTAAATTTCTTCCAGTCCTCTTCCATCTGCTCCTCTCCTTGATCTCGGATTCTGCCAGTCATTTTCTGCCAGTTCCATATAGTCTATTACTTGCATCTGCCATTCTTCCAAGGTGGGTAAATCTTGCGTCTTCCAATGCTTTGCAATAAGTATTCTTGCTGCTGCTGTAGCATACATGAAAAAAGTTTCTAGCCTTCTTTGACACCAATTGGGCCGACTATGCCCAGCAGGAAGGCCTCTGAGAGCCAGTGTGGTGTAGTGGTTAAGAGCGGTGGACTCATAATCTGGTGAACTGGGTTGATTCCCCGCTCCTCCACATGCAGCTGCTGGGTGACCTTGGGGCTAGTCACACTTCTCTGAAGTCTCTCAGCCCCACTCACCTCACAGAGTGTTTGTTGTGGGGGAGGAAGGGAAAAGGAGATTGTTAGGCCGCTTTGAGACTCCTTAGGATAGTGATAAAGCGGGATATCAAATCCAAACTCTTCTTCTTCTTCTCTGGTTTCTTCAGAAAAGTATACTTAAATACCTTTTTTCAGTTCATTATAGATCATTTCCCCAGAACGCCTTAATCCTTGGCACGTTCCACTCAAAGGTGAAAGAATGTTCCTTTCAGTTTCTTTACATTTCCAACACTTGTTATCAGGCAAATGATAAATCTTTGCAAAGCTTGACTGGTGTCATGTACCACCTATAAATCAATTTTCATAATATTTTTCTCTTAAGGCATACATGCCCTAAATTTCATACCGGTGGTCCACACCGTTCCCAGTCAGCAAACATAATATTATGACCAATGTCTTGTGCCACCATTTTATCATAGCCAACTTAACCGTTTCATCCTCAGTATTCATTTCAACAGCAAGATCATACATTCTCGACAATATCTTAGCATTGGGCTCTAACAGTTCTGTTTCCAACTTTGATTTTCCACCTGGAAAGCATTTTTCCTGTCCAAATTGTAGGCCTCTCTTACTTGAAAGTAATGTAACCAATCCTGCACCTTATTCTTAAGTTTCTCATAACTCTGCAATTTCAACCTGTCCCCTTCTTGTTCCAAAATTTCCGAGTATCTCGGCCATTTAAATTCCATATTAAGCTTTTTCACAGCTTTAGCCTCCATTGGCGACAACCATCTAGGAGTCTTACTTTCCAACAAATCTTTGTACCTCGTCCAGACATTAAATAGTGCTTTCCTGACAATATGATTTTTAAAACCTTTGTGAGCTTTAACCTTATCATACCACAAATATGCATGCCACCCAAAAGCATTATTAAAACCCTCTAAATCCAAAATGTCGGTGTTCTCAAGAAGTAGCCATTCCTTCAGCCAGCAAAAAGCTGCTGCTTCATAATATAACTTAAAGTCCGGCAGGGCAAACCCCCCTCTATTCTTAGTATCAGTAAGGATTTTGTATTTTATTCTGGGCTTTTTGCCCTGCCAGACAAATCTAGAAATTACTTTTTGCCACTTCTTGAAACAGTCCATCTTGTCAATGATTTGTAACGTCTGAAACAAAAATAACATTCTTGGTGTCAGAGCTGCCTCCAGGTCCCAGCTCACAGAGGACCAACGCTAGCCGGTAGTAATGTACAAAAGTCTTTATTGAAGTACAGTCTCCATTTTCAAGCCGCAGCGCGCAGCTCTACGTCTTAGAAGCTAGACCGGCGAAGCTCCATCTGAGTCTCCACCCCCTGTACACCAGTTTAAGACTCTAACCTTACTCCACCTCTTCCGTCTCTCCTTTCTCCTCTGGGTCCTTCTGCCCCCCGGGGTCCCCTCCTTTCTGGACTCTTCTGTCGCTGACGCTGACCCCCCTGACTCCTCTCCCTCCTTTCGGCGGGCTTTAGGACCTGGCTCCCTATCCGGGCTACCAACTGCGCCACCCTCCTGTACATTTGAACTTGGCGCGCGCGCCCAGCCTCCAACCTTCCTCTTGACCGTTTCCTCGCTCTCCGATGGAGGCGTGGCCAATCCTGACTCATTTCCTCCCGCTGGCGGTGAGCCGCCTGATCCCGATACCTGGGACTCCTCCCCCCTACTGTGCTCTGGTGGGGAAGCTGGTCCTGATTTCCAACTGCTGCTCTCTGAGTCCCCTCTGGCCCCTTCTTCCTGGGGTGTCCCCCTAGGCACCCCCCTTGCTCTGACCATGGGAGCCCCTTTCTGTGAATCTTCCGATTCGCTGGAAAGACTCAGAGACCTCGGGCCGCTGTCATCGCTAACATTTCCTTCGGATTCCTCCCCCTCGCTCTCTATTTCCTCCCTTTCCTGTGCCTCTGCTCCTGAGCCCCTGACACTTGGCAATACATTAATTTTGATAACCGCAATTCTACCCAATAAGGAAAGCTTCAAATTTGTCCAAATTTCAAGATCTTTTTTCACTTCTGACCAACACTTCTCATAATTATCTTTAAATAAATTAGCATTTTTTGAAGTCATATTCACCCCTAGGTATTTCACTTTTTTCACCAATGATAAACCTGTTTCTCCCTGAAACCTTTCTTTCTCAATCGATGTCAAGTTCTTCTCCAAAACCATTGTTTTCGATTTATTCAGTTTAAAACCTGCCACCTGACCAAATTCTTGTATTATTTCCAAAGCTCTGTTAGTACTGGGAATTGGCTCCTGTAATGTCACCTCCCCTCCCTTCCTGTCCTCTTGCCTCTCACTCTACGGTTGAGCCAACTCCCTTCCGGTACTCCTGCCTCGCCCAACATGGCGGCAGCACAGCTTTTCCGCCCAGTTCCCTCTCCTTTTTCTCTTGCCCTCTCTGTGCACCTCCTTCCGGTACATCTGCCTCGCCCAGCATGGCGGCAGCACAGCCCAAAATGGCGGCACTAGAAGAAAGCCACTGGGGGAGAAAGGCAGTGAGGGCGGGGCGGGGGGCAGGGCTGCACCCTGGGAGAGCGGGGTCGAGAGAGAGCGGCTGGGAGAAAGAGAGAGGGCCAGCCTGGCTCGGCACGTCTCTGCTGGCCCAGCGTGCAGCGCCCTCTCCCCCTTTCCCTCCCTTCCTGTCCTCTGCCTCTCCTCCGCTGGGCACCTCGCTTCCGGTACTCCTGCCTCGCCCAACATGCGCAGCATCTTCAGGCCTTTTCCGCCCCCAGTTCCCCTCTCCTTTCCT